GTCTTACATTAAATTCTGAACATATGTAGGCCAATGGAGAGTTGCTGTCATTAAAGTTGACCATTGTGACGTTCGTTATCGTCAGCCACTTCTGGAACGTGACGTGGATTCCACACTCACACGAAAACGGATTGTAGGACAAATCCAAAATTGTCAAACGTGAGAAATCCTTCACCATCGTGTCCGTTACTTGGTTAATTTGATTTCTCCGTAATAACAAAACTACGAGTTGAGAATTGTTTTGAAAAATGTCATAATTCCATGAAGTGATAAGATTACCTTCTAGCATCAGGTGTGTTAAACATGTTAAATTGGAAAACATGTCCGAGTTAATTGTTTTAATTTTGTTGTTTCTTAATTTCAAGCCTACTAATCTGGACAAATGTTGAAAGGGAAGAGAATCTTTGGTGAATGAAATCAAGTTTTCTTGTAAATTTAGGGTTCTCAAGTTGTTCAATCCATAAAATAAATTATCCCCAAGGCTTTTGATGGAATTATATGCTAAATCCAGAATTTCAAGGTCTTTTAATGTTTCAAATGAAAATGCTTCGATGTCCACGATTTTGGTGTTGGCAAGATGAAGATATTTCAGTCTTTTTAATCCAAAGAAATAATGCCTTTTTATCGATTTATTAATTGGCATTCCATTGAGAGTCAAATTCTGGAGACTTTCCATCTGGCTAAGACCAAAATCATTGAAAACAAAAGCGAATAATTCCACATATCTGGCTGAAAAACGCATATCTAGAGTGCGCAGATGCTTTAGAGAAGTAATGGTGGAACTTATGAAAAATATTTCATTTTGGGTAAGGATCAATTCCTTCAAATTAGGTAAGTTAACAAAGGAATCGGATAAAACTTTAATATTACAATAGCTCATGGACAATTTTCTTAACCGAGGCATTAGGGGCAGTGGACGAACAGTCATAAAATAATTCTTGTCAAGTATTAGTATTATAAGACTAGAGTTTTCCAGAGGAGCCAGACCATGACTTGGAAAATCATTGATACGACTCAACTGTTGTAGTCGAAGCTCTTCCAGTTCGAGTTCTCGCAAGTCGGTTGTAAGATTCTTTAAAGCATTCTCGGACAGTGGATTGTTACCAATGTCGAGAAATTTAAGATATTTGAGTCTTACAAATGCACCTTTTTCGAGTACTTTTATAGAACAGTCATGCAGATAAAGCTTCTCCAAGGAGCAGTTTTCTAGTTTATGGAAGTCCTCCACTTTTATTACACTCGCATGCTTGTTGTGAGAAAGATTTAGTTCTGTCAGGGATGGCAGGATGGAGACACTAACAGCTATGCTCCTAAAGTTTTGGATGTTATTGTGAGAAAGGTTGAGAAATTTCACACTTGGTGTAAATCTGAAGAGTTTTGGAGACAGTACTACAATCAAGTTATCACCAAGATTAACGTCTGTCAGCATAAACAAACCAATGAGTGATTTCGAAATTACGTACCGAATTCCATTGGCGGGAAGATGTAAAACTTTCAGCTTTGATAAATGAGCAAATATAGGCTTAGTGAGCGTTAGATATTTTCCCTTTGTTATAACCAATTTACTGGTTTCATTAGGTAGTAAAGACAACAAGTCGAGGTTGATATTTTCACAAAATACACTAAAATTTCCGTTCTTCACATTAAATTTGCAGTTGGATATTTCAGGTACATCTTCAAAGGAAACGCTTGAGGTCTTCTCATCTTGATGAACAGCTAAGCCCGGTTGAAAGAACAAAGGTGAGCTTATGACCACCACAATACAAGTAAAGATCGCCAAGTGTCTGGAACTAAAAATAAAGTATTTTAGATTTATATTGAGTTATAATAAAGTAGAAAAACAACAATACATTCTCTACTCAATAATCAACTTTACAATTTACTGTAAGACAGCTAGTTTAATCACCATTACAATTTACTGTAATACAGGTAGTTTAATCACCATTACAATTTACTGTAAGACAGGTAGTTTAATCACCATTACAATTTACTGTAAGACAGCTAGTTTAATCACCATTACAATTTACTGCAAGACAGATAGTTTAATCACCATTACAATTTAATGTAAGACAGCTAGTTTAATCAACTTTACAATTTACTGTAAGACAGGTAGTTTAATCACCTTTACAATTTACTGTAAGACAGGTAGTTTAATCAACTTTACAGTTTACTGTAAGACAGGTAGTTTAATCAACTTTACAATTTACTGTAAGACAGGTAGTTTAATCACCATTACAATTTAATGTAAGACAGGTAGTTTAATCACCATTACAATTTACTGTAAGACAGGTAGTTTAATCACCATTAAAGCCGAGAGAGATGGAAGGAAAGGATTTACTTGACGCTCTTCAAAAGTGTCATATTAACAATGACAGGAAAATTGGAAACATTGTGGTAGTTGCAAGCGTTTTGACCTTCCTCGTTGTGTTTGGAATCCTTGTTATTCTATCATGCTGGTGTTTCAGAGGTAGTGTACACCAGCTGGCGGTGGGGTTGCTTTCCCTTCTCCATCAGGAAAAAAGTACGTGATGCATGCTTCTACTACTTCATTTATCACGTGAACTACTGTGTTAGATAGTTTCATGATAAAAGTCTACACTTATGTAACCTTTAAAAACTTCCTGCTGGAAATGACAGTGAATGCTCATAACTCGTACTTATTTCTTCTTCTCCATAAACAACACAAGTGACTGATGTTCCAATTCACACAGCTTCACATTCCAAAAGTTGGTATGAGCCCAGTTTTTAAATGTTAAAAACTTATTCAACACTTTATGTGTATGTATTGTTTAATTGATTTCATGAAGTGAAACTAAACGACTTTTCCCATAATAAAAAATATATTTTGTATTTTTAACTTGATGTTGATTTTTTAACTATTAGACCACAGAATATTGTTTCAGGTAAGAATTATATCACGTACAGATTATATAATATAATTATATCAGGTATAGATTATATAATATAATTATATCAGGTATAGATTATATAATATATCACGTACAGATTATATAATATAATTATATCAGGTATAGATTATATAATATAATATATCAGGTATAGATTATATAATATAATTATATCAGGTATAGATTATATAATATAATTATATCAGGTATAGATTATATAATACATTTATATCACGTACAGATCATATAATATAATTATATCAGGTATAGATCATATAATACATTTATATCACGTACAGATCATATAATATAATTATATCAGGTATAGATCATATAATATAATTATATCAGGTATAGATTATATAATATAATGATATCAGGTATAGATTATATAATATAATTATATCAGGTATAGATTATATAATATAATGATATTAGGTATAGATTATATAATATAACTATATCAGGTAGAGATTATATAATATAACTATATCAGGTATAGATTATATAATATAATGATATCAGGTATAGATTATATAATATTGTTATATCAGGTACATATTACATAATATAAATATATTAGGTATAGATTATATAATATAATGATATCAGGTATAGATTATATAATATT